GATCAAATATTTATGGCATTCGCTACCAAGACCTGCCATGATCGCGGTCCCTTAGATGTAAGGAGTGTCAACGTCGGAACCGAGGGGGGAGGGGGACAGAAACAGCCAAAAGCGACAATCTTCACGCAGAAGCTGCCAGACGTACGAGAACGACACAGATGAGGACCCCGCCATTTCCCTGCAAATCAATCCAATTGGCGACGAATTTGTTACCTGTCTCGCCTGGTGAACTAATTTTCTCTGAGACATTGTTACCAAACGCTCTTCCCTATTTAACTGACTTATTTACCCTACAGCGATTTCTATACCTACACTTCTTTGTTTATTTTGCTTACATTTAAGACTAAATATTGCCCCCAGGCAAATCGAGAGAGAGAGAGAGAGAGATGGTGAGATAAAGTGCATATATAGTCCTGTATACCTGCACACGTCCGCAAAACCTTACACACTACGTACCACAATCCACCACTCGCACGCCGCCTGATCGGGGTATGCTTTGGGGTAGTTCGGGCTCGAGATGGTCCCTCTAGAGTGTTTCTTCGAGAGCTGAATAACGCGATGGCAGTCAGTTACTTCCCAACTGATGCTGATGTTAAACCCGACGTCAGTGATGGAAGAGTCAGACACGAACTGAGTGGAGAAGCGGAAGTTGGGAACGTTCAGATACCCCGTCTGGCTCCCGCAGAACCTGAGGTGAGAAGGTCAGGTCAGAACGCTCTTTTGCTATTGAACTGAAAGAGATAAAGAGGCGGGGAAATAGATGAAGAGATAGTTAGATATTTAATAAGCCATGTGGCACTTCTAGGGTGGGAAAAAGATATCTCCACAACGCCCTTAAACAATTTTGATAAACCGACATACAGACCCATACTTTTTAAAGCTAACTTCCAAAAGACAGACGGACGAATATTACATTTACTTATCAAACAGACGGTCCATATGGCCTACGACCCATAACAAACAGGATACACTCTCCTCACACGTATTCCATGTCTGGTTTCCTACCTCATGGTTCTGTTAAGAGGTATCGGGATGTCGACGTAATCATGACAAATTTCGCTTCGTCTCCGCGACTTATCTTCCAGTTGGAAAGTATTAAACGTGTACTTCGTCATCAAAGGTCCACCCTGGTTAATCAAATATTACATTTTAAAGCATGACATTTTTTCTCGCTAAAAGGACTATTTTTTTTCCAAATCTGATCTCACTTTCGTCCATTTTTTTTTTTAATCAAAGTGGTATTATACGAATTAACCTTCTTGTAACTATACCTCAATTAATAATTAAAAAAAAAAAAATGAAATAAAACAAAAATAAAGACAAACACTTACATAGGATCCCATAACGCCACACTGGAAATTGTTTGGATAATTGGCAACACCAAAATATGGGGAGGTCCAGTCTGCTTTGCCGCCGAAGCTGTAAATCGTGCAACTTGGGCTGCCGGGGGGAGTTGTTGTAGTTGTTACTTCTGGAGTAGTCGCAGTAGTTGTAGGGGGCTCTGGAGTAGTTGTAGGTTCTGGAGTAGTCGTAGTAGTTGTAGTGGGCTCTGGAGTAGTCGTTGTAGTCGTAGTAGTTGTAGGGGGCTCAGGAGTAGTCGTTGTAGTCGTAGTAGTTGTAGGGGGCTCTGTAGTAGTCGTTGTAGTCGTAGTAGTTGTAGTTGGTTCTGGAGTAGTCGTAGTCGTAGTAGTTGTAGTGGGCTCTGGAGTAGTCGTAGTAGTTGTAGGGGGCTCTGTAGTAGTCGTAGTAGTTGTAGTGGGCTCTGGAGTAGTCGTTGTAGTCGTAGTAGTTGAAGTGGGCTCTGGAGTAGTCGTAGTAGTTGTAGGGGGCTCTGGAGTAGTCGTTGTAGTCATAGTAGTTGTAGGGGGCTCTGTAGTAGTCGTAGTAGTTGTAGGGGGCTCTGGAGTAGTCGTTGTAGTCATAGTAGTTGTAGGGGGCTCTGTAGTAGTCGTAGTAGTTGTAGGGGGCTCTGGAGTAGTCGTTGTAGTCGTAGTAGTTGTAGGGGGCTCTGGAGTAGTCGTTGTAGTCGTAGTAGTTGTAGGGGGCTCTGGAGTAGTCGTTGTAGTCGTAGTAGTTGTAGGGGGCTCTGGAGTAGTCGTTGTAGTCGTAGTCGTAGTCGTAATGGAGGGATCGAAGAAGGTCACATCTGCTTGCCATCCGACGCCGATACTGGTTCGGGTATAAAACATGAGGATGATCTCTGTGGTCGCCCCGACGAAGGAGGTGTTGACAGCGATTTGAGTGTCGCAGTAACTAAGGGAGAGAAAAGAAAAGAAAAAAAAGAAGAGAATTTTGTTTATTTCTCTCTCTCTCTCTCTTTCTCTCTCTCTCTCTCTCTCTCTCTCTCTCTCTCTCTCTCTCTCTCTCTCTCTCTCTCTCTCTCTTTCTCCCCCCCCTCTCTCTCTCCTTCTCCCTCTCTCTCTCTCTCTCTCTCTCTCTCTCTCTCTCTCTCTCTCTCTCTCTCTCTCTCTCTCTCTCTCTCTCTCTCTCTCTGTTTCTCTCTCTCTCCTTCTCCCTCTCTCTCTCTCTCACTCTCTCTCTCTCTCTCTCTCTCTCTCTCTCTCTCTCTCTCTCTCTCTCTCTCTCTCTCTCTCTCTCTCTCTCTCTCTCTCTCTCTCTCTAGCCTGTTTATTGACAGGTGGGTTTTATCATGAAGTTCTGTTTTAGTGTCTGTGTTGCATTATAATTTTGTTATTATCATTTTTTGTTAGAATTGTTTATGTGTTTTTGTTATACTTGCTGTTGTCATTACTATTACTATCATCAGTATTATCATTATTATTATCCCCATTGTCATCATCGGCAGTAGTATCATTAGTAGTAATAATAATAATATTATTATTGTCATTATGTTATAATCATTAGTAGTAGTAGTATCCTCAATTCTTATTGTTATTACTGTTATCATTATCATTATCATCATTATTACTATGATAATCATTAATAATGTTTGTATATATTCTTCATCATCATCATCATCATCATCATCACCACCACCATCATCCCCATCCTCATCCTCATCCTCATCCTCATCTTCATCCTCATCTTCATCCTCATCTTCATCCTCATCCTCATCATCATCATCATCATCATCATCATCATCATCATCACCACCACCATCATCCCCATCCTCATCCTCATCCTCATCCTCATCCTCATCTTCATCCTCATCCTCATCATCATCATCATCATCACCACTACCATCATCCTCATCCTATCAGTATCACCCTTACCACTCAATCTCTCATTCTTTTTCATCACGAACCCCTTCCTCATCCATAATACCATCACCTCACTCCCTTTTATTGATCATTTCACTTACAAATCTCCATCGAAACGATTGTCGATTCGAATCTCTAAGTGATCCAGTCTCCAGTCGCAGTTTGTCAGCCTGAAATCGGTGAATGTTATCTTCGGAAGCATGTTCTCTGGCGATTTTATCCACTTGGCGCACGTTAAGCCTGGAGGCAAAGATACGGAGGAGGTGAAAGTGAAGAATGATGAATTGATGATAGGCAGGTACTATGTGTGTGGTGTAGTATCAGTGTGAAAAGTACGATGACGTGATTGCACATTGTGGGTGGATAATGAGTGAATATTGAATATGATATGGTATAATGCGGAGTGAGTGTAACGCAGTCATGAGCACACAGTGGTACAGTAATGAAGGAAGATTGATGTGTTAAGGAAAATGAAATGATTGATCTATCTACCGTCTTAATAACAAAGATAAAAAGGATGAAATGAGTGAATACTTGGAGAATTTCTGTCGCAGGATACTGAATTTTTGCCTTAATAAACTCCATTTCACTATTATGAAACGCAATGAAAGGCTGTAAAAAATCATTTAACTCAATCCCCCAAACATTAATCTTAAGAAAACCCAACTTCCGTTTGAATTATCACGGAAATCTATTCACATTCTATACCATCTTACACTTTGCAATTGAGAATCTTACCACCAAGATATCCATTAGGATAACCAGGAGAGCTAATGGTCGTTGGGGAGGTGATGATCTCGTTACAGGGACTTCGATAGGAGGCTGTTGGGAGGGAATGATGCCAATTTAACTGTTTGGTAATTACCAGGTTAAGTGTTTGGTATAATGGGATGTTATATCAGAAAAAACACATGCACAATCCCGCATCGCAGCATCCACCTGCAACCTATCGCTTTACCTTTTTTTTATCCCATTGCCTCACCGTGGTAATCGCCGGTGTCTGTCTCGCAGTGTGTGCCCGACGTTCCTTCAGGGCACACGCACGTGCAGGACTCCCCTGTGTAACCGTTGTTCTGGCAAGGATCAGCATCTAAGCCACATTTCTGAAGCCATTTGTCTTTATGTTTTGGAAAGAGGAAAAGAAAGAACAGCAGTGAACAGTGGTTATTTCGAAAAAAAGGCTATAAAGACGGTTAGTCATAGTTCTTTCTCATAATCCAGGAGGATATAGCGATAATGATAACCAACCATGAGAATGAAACAAAATATGAATATCATATGAGCCAAAAATAAACATGTATCCAAGGACAGGACACTAACCGATGCAGCGATACATGCGGTTGGCGATTAACTTGTCCATGTGAGTGAGGCCAGTGCGTTTGCCGATGAGCTCCTGGTTAAGGGGATCCACGGTTGCCAGGGTCAGGTGTTCGTTTATGCTGAAGAACTGTAGGGGTAAATTATATAAATGTGTGTGTGTATGTGTGTGTGTGTGTGCATTGTGTGTGTGTGTGTGTGTGTGTGTGTGTGTGTGTGTGTGTGTGTGTGTGTGTGTGTGTGTGTGTGTGTGTGTGTGTGTGTATGTGTGTGTGTGTATATGTGTGTGTGTGTGTGCGTGCGTGCGTGCGTGCGTGCGTGCGTGCGTGCGTGTGCGTGCGCGCGCACATATAAAATATATACATATATATACATATATACTTACAAATACACGTATGTATAATGGCATGTGTGTGTTTAGGTATGTATTAAACACAGAATCAGTAACAATCTTGAATACACTTTCATTATTGCTTAAATAGAGCTAGCCCTTAGACTTAATCTACGAAGTAAAAGACATTTAACCGGCTACTACGCTGATTTTTAATCAATATTTTAAGTGCCACTCTCGAAAGTTAGTGTCAAAGAATAATAATGATAGGAATATCAGTAGTTATAACATTGGTTGATTAAACAGTAATTATAATGATAGCAATAACAGTATTTATGTTAAAATTATGGTAATAATCAGAATCATAACATAACGAAGATACTCCTGCGACTATTACTAATGATAATCATTAATAAGAACAATAAGGACAGTTATAATGATGACGACACTGACCTTCCCACCGTAGTGCATGACGCTACGAAAGTCATAAGGCACGTTCCGGTTATTGACGACGCTGTCAGACTCCTTTTCGAAGTTGCCGAGCTTCCCCGACTGGACGTTCTCCGAGTTGACGTGGACGAAGAGGTCGCGGTCGGGGCGGGACTGCTCGTGGAACAGACCCAGCGAGTGGCCGATCTCGTGGACGACGGTGCCCAGCTGGGAGGCGAAGGGGGGGGGGGTGCTTTAAAAGTTCGTGCTTGATACTTTATTGGGGTAATTTCAATGCTCTTTTATAATGCAATATACATGTGTGTGTGTGTGAGTGTGTGTGTGTGTGTGTGTGTGTGTGTGTGTGTGTGTGTGTGTGTGTGTGTGTGCGCGCGCGTGTGTATGTGCGCTGCGCAGCTCTTATAAATAACAGTATAGTATAGAAAACAAACGAAACAAACCAGCGTACTTACCGACTGACAACCCAGGCCAATCGATATGTTTTGGCCATTAGGGAAGTAGCTGCCAAGGTAGCCGACATAGGACCAGCAGCCACTCAGTTCCCGAAACATCAGGTGCGGTTGGTTGGCGTCGGTGATCATCTCGAACCGGATGCAGGTGTGGCTCTCCCAGTGCCCGATGCCTGCGAGGACGGCTGGCTGGTCCACGCTGGCTGAAGGAGATTTTAAAGAAAACGTGAGAAGAAAATGGGAAATTGAATATCATTCGGGGGCGGAGAGGGGTCGTTTGTTATTAATTGTTTGTTGAGGAGGAGAATAAGTTCCGTCAGCGAAGCGAAACGACGATTATGTATAACACAAGTAGAAAGAAAAAAAAAAGCCAAAAAAAAAAAAAAAAGACGGAGAAAAAAAAAAAGAAAAGAAGGAGAGAGAGAAACGAAGGCAGAACACTTTAGAAGCAGAGCCATATCCCGGGAGACCAGAACCTATACTCAGTGAACGCCCTGAACGAAAACTGACTGTCGGCGAAGCGGTATCGGACGCGCGGAGTCCCAGAGGCGTCCTCGGGCCAGTACCGCCTCTCGTCGGCCAGGCCCTTCCTCGTCAGAACCTTCTTCCACTGCGCCTCCGTCAGCATGATGTCCTTCTCGAAGAGGTTGTGGCCATCGACGACGTCCGGGTTGGTCAGTTCGAAGGGCTCCTCCTCCTCCTCCGGCTGCGTGGGAGAGGCCCTTACGTTACTGTTCTCATTCTTTCTCTTTTCTTATTTTATCTCTGGTGTGTTTTCATCTCTATAGCTCTTTTTTATTGCTTTTGATTACATAAAGCAAGAGATAAAAAAAAAACAAAAAAACGCCGATACACAGCGCACTCATTTACACAAAAATGAAAAGAAAAACAATATAGACCAGTTCATCCAAAAGATACATTAACATTAAACAAAATTTATATCGAAGTAAGAGTCAAGTCTAATTCTATAACGTCTATAACGCCCTAAAATTTACTAACATTTAAGTCGCCGGTGTTCCTGCGTAGATAGGTCTCGTCCACCTGCAGATATAAGCGAACATGCTCCGTGTGAAAACCTTTTAGAGATATATGCAGTATTTCTCTCGCGTATTTATGTTCGTACACATCAACCATTTTTCTAATCTCTCGCACACCTACTAAATGAACGTGTGTAGTGGATGCACACATATATGTATTTACACAGTATATATACTCGTGTAGATATATAAATATATATATATGTGTGTGTGTGTGTGTGTGTGTGTGTGTGTGTGTGTGTGTGTGTGTGTGTATCTATATATATATATATATATATATATATATATATATATATATATGTGTGTGTGTGTGTGTGTATGCAGGTGTGTATATATATATATATATATATATATATATATATATATATATATATATATATATATATATGTATATATGTATATATGTATATATGTATATATATATATATATATATATATATATATATATATATATATATATACATATATATACATATATATATATATATATATATATATATATATATATATATATATATATATATATGTATATGTATATATATATATATATATATATATATATATATATATATATATATATATATATATATATACACATATGTATATGAACTCTAAGCCCTCTTCACAGACGACGGCAGTCCGCTCAGCAAGTGGCCGGGTAATCTCAGATCCTGATGGGGTGCGTGTGCGTTGGGCTGAGTATTTTGAGCAGCTGTATCAGGTTGATCCACCAACAGTTAACTTGGATGCTGGTAATGTTGAGACTCCTCTGCCAGACCCACCCATCAGCGAGGATCCACCCTCCCTGACTGAAGTCAAGGGGGCGATCTCCAAGCTGAAGAGTGGTAAAGCAGCAGGTGTTTGTGGCATCCCAGCTGAATTGTTAAAGGCTGGTGGAGAACCTATGGCAAGGGGCTTGCATGCAGTCCTGTCTGCCATCTGGCAGACCGGTACCATTCCCCCTGACCTGCTGAGGGGTGTGGTCATCCCTCTCTGGAAGGGGAAAAGGGATCGGTGGGACTGCAGCAATCACCGAGGCATTACACTGCTCAGTGTACCAGGCAAGGTACTCGCCCACATCTTACTGAAACGTATCAGAGACCACCTGAGGCACCAAAGACCGGGTTCACTCCTGGTAAGTCCACAATAGACCGTATCCTGGCGCTTCGAGTCATTGTAGAGCGCCGTCGTGAGTTCGGATGTGGGCTGCTCGCAGCCTACATCGACCTCAAGAAGGCGTTTGATACGGTGCATCCCGAATCACTCTAGGAGATCCTGAGACTGAGAGGAATTCCAACAAGGATTGTTGGGCTAATAGCAAACCTGTATACAGGCACTGAAAGTGCTGTAAAGTGTGGTGGGGGCCTGTCGAGCTTCTTTCCTGTTAGTTCAGGTGTGAGGCAAGGCTGTGTTCTTGCACCAACACTTTTCAACACTTGCATGGATTGGATACTGGGTAGAGCTACTGTCCAAAGTCACTGTGGAGCAACTCTGGGCAATATCAAGGTTACCGGACCTTGACTTTGCTGATGATGTTGCTATTCTTTCTGAATCTCTGGAAACCCTAGTGGCGGCTCTTGATGCATTTAGCAATGAAGCGAAGCCCCTGGGGCTAGAGGTCTCCAGGACCAAGACCAAGATCCAGGATTTTGGGGGCCTACTAGGAGACCCTGTGCAGTCTGTACGTGCTTGCGGTGAAAACATCGAAGTCACAAGGAGTTTTATATACCTCGGTAGTGCAGTTCATGACTCTCGGCTGTCAGACCAAGACGTCAATAGACGGATTGGCCTGGCAGCAGGGGTCATGAAATCTCTCGACAAGAGTATTTGGAGATGCCAGTACCTGTGCAGAAGGACCAAGCTACGAGTTTGCAAGGCCCTGATACTGCCAGTTTTACTATATGGTAGTGAAACTTGGACGCTATCTTGTGCCTTGGAATCTCGTCTCGATGCCTTTTGTAACAGATCCTTGCGCCGGATCATGGGGTAAAGTTGGCGGGACCATGTGTCCAACCAACAGCTGCACCGCGAGACCGGTACAGGACCTGTTACTTGCACAATCCGTGATCGCCAACTCAGGCTATATGGCCACTTGGCTCGATTCCCGCAGGATGATCCTGCCCATCAGGTTGTCTCTGTTCAGGACAACCCTGGGTGGAGGAGGCCTCTGGGACGACCGAGAAGGTCGTGGCTTGGGCAGATCGATCAAACCTGTCGTGAGGAACTAGAGATGGGCCGGGCCCCTGCCTGGCGGCTCGCCATGAGAGACCCTCGCAGGTGGAAGCGAAGGGTGGACGCGGCTATGCGCCCCTACCGGCGTTAGCTCCCCAATGATGATGATATATATATATATATATATATATATGTTTCAGACAAAACGGGGGTGCAAGAATTCGAGTTCTCCTCTTCCAATCTCAATGCCTCTTATATATATATATATATATATATATGTGTGTGTGTGTGTGTTTGTGTGTATATATGTATATATATACACACACACACACACGTGCGCACACACACATATATGTGTTTGTATGTGTACATATACATAGATATACAAATGTGTGTGTGTGTGTGTAAAATATAGAGCGGGTGTGAGAGAGATTTAGGCTAGGCTTAAATACGATAATCTGCTCAGGAAAGTAATATATAAAACAGTTAAGTAACAGGCCCTATTATTACTTACATTATATGTGTGTAGTTCTGGCGGAACCCTCTCCTCCACATACTAGAAAAAAAGTAATTATACAATTTGTATTATATATCTAATTATTGAGAGATGCCCTTCTTAATCAACTGCAGTTCAGTTAAACTCCCACCACGACATCTGCGTTTGAACTCTCAAGGTGGTATGTCTTTTTTTTCGCTTGCATTTTGCAATTGCCGCGGTCGGGAACTGAACTCGGGAGCACTAGGGTCTGAGTTCAGTTCTCTAACCACTGGACCATTGGGACAACCGTATATATGTGCATGTGTATGTGTGCTTATAAATTTGTATATATGTACCCCCACCCCCCCAATCCCTTGCCCGTTGTTGTCGTGGGGGAGCTTAGGAGGCGGAGACTGGGACCCAATGATGGGGAACTCCCCAACCTTGGGACTCAGCCCTCGACTCAACTAATTTTGCATGGTCTTTTTTCCCTTCCTACTTTTTTCGTTTCTATCCCTTCACCAATCCCTTCTACTATCCACCTC